ACTATAGCATCAGCTGATTCATAAAAGCTGTTGACCTATTTTAGACATTTTTATGAAGTTCACGTAAACCCCAAGGAAAGGGTTAACAGGCAATGTGATTATCCCATCTTGTGATCGCATTTCCAGCCATGAAAGAAGGTATTTTATTTGTGCAGAAAGGGTCGTATGCAGACGCACTCACTCACTCACCGCTTCAGCAGGCCTACAGAGAGCAGCTAACCCTGGTAAGTGTTACGATTCTGACCTATAGAATTCCAAATGCGGAATTCTTGTGACTGTATGACAAATTCTTAAAAATGAAGGTTCTCTAATTGACAACATCTATGGTTCCATGAAGAACCTTTAACATCCATTTCCACTCCACAAAAAGGTTCTTTATAGTGGAACAAAGAAAAAGGTTCTGTTTTAGAATTCTTCACTGTAAGGTTCTTTGAGGAACCAGAAATGATTCTTTTATGACATTGCTGCGAAACCTTTTGGAACCTTTATTTTCAGGTGTAAATATGTCAGTGGGGATGAATGGAAATGACATTTTCCTGTAATCCTGATGTGATCTGATGTAAGTTTCATATGCACTGAAATCATGCTTTCTCTTTCTGAAGTGTATGTGATTAGGTTTAGCACTGTTGGGAATTCCTTGCATCTGTGGTTTTGTGGAAATTCTGATGAATAACACATACAGTTAATTTCTGAAGAGCAAAAATACTGAAGAAATATTAAAGTCCATATTTTAAAAGCGCAACCTGATATTTTATATTTGAATAATGTATTCATCATTTATTAATATAATTCAGTGGCCTTTGTGTTGTGTTACTTTATTTGGCTGTCATTTTAAAGCAACTGTAGGTATGAATTATTATTTTATTTTTTTTGTACCCTGAAAGATCAGTTTTTGATCTTCCAATCATTCTGATGGTACACTAACTGATAATAAGGCGGATGACTTCTGTTTCTTTCCCCTCAAACATTTGTTCTGGGAGTAGCCAGAGTTTGGTGAGCAGGTACGAAATTCTGTGAAAACGGGTGATTGCTTTACGGCAGTAACAAAAGCACGTGTAAAATGGTCAATCATTGGGAGAGACCAAGGTCCGCTGCTCTGCCACTGGAGAAAGTGTAACAGCCAATTTATACACATTACAGCCTTGATAACTGAATTTCTGTCAGAGTCGTGAGACGGTCAATCGCACCGAATGAGAAGTGCCGTAAACCGAATTCTATTTGTCGCAAAACGGTCTGTTATTGCTCTTATAAAACAGCATTTTTTTTTTTTCGGTGTAAACTCTAAATATAGATAAATCCAAAACGAATGTTTAATGGCAAACGTGTTTAATATTAGTAGATAAGTTGTTGATTCGTTAAACGATAAGCTGTTTATTCAGCGTAATGAAGCTTCAACACCAGAAACAAACAGTAAAAGTAGGCCAATTCCACAGGAAAACCACGGACTGTGCAACAGATTCTTCAAAGGCTTACCTTGAAAGCTTGCGTTAAAGTGGCTTTGGTGCAGCTTTCCACTGTAATTATGAAGGCGCTATATTTACGACTTTATGAATTCCACTCGCTTAACTGTAGGAGGCTCTAAAGGCCCCAAAATACACAAAACTGCATGCAGGTTCCTTGAAGTAGGACTTGTAGGATTTTTAGTAGGATTTTAGTAGGATTTAATCTATCGATCAGTTCTTTGTTAGAATGTGAATTCATGGGCTATTTCATAACTTTACATATAGGCTATAAATGTATGCCTTTTTTGATTACTTGGACTGTCACACAGTTTTAGCAGAAGAACTCCGTTTGTTTGTGGAATATTCATTAGTGCAATGTATAGCAGTAATATTTTGATATTTAATAGTAATATATGATTTTACAGTGTAGTTGCACCAAACGTACCCAGAATTTTTGGCATAAATTGATCATGTACCAAAATAACCCAACCCTTAACTGACCCTAAACATCTTTTTTTGACAGTGTCAGGAGGTGGATCCGCTCATTATGTGTCCTGATGCCGTGGTGGAGAAGCAGTGAAGAGTGTGAGAGCAGTGATATGGAGACCGGGCCCTCGGCCCCCGGCGGCCCTGCTGTGGTGCTGGGCCTCCAGAGACTCTCTCTGGCCTACCAGAGCCTCGTGGAGATTCCCTACGACGCCATCCTTCAGCAGCGGGACACTCTGGAGGTTCTGGACCTCAGTTACAACTTGCTGGACGAGTAACCTTTCGGGAATCAGATGTCTTTGTCATGTGTGGAACTAACATTATAAGGTTTTCTTATTTGTGGATTACATATACAAAAATTAAGGGCATAGAGCGTTTATAAAAATTTTAAAAAATGCCAAAACTTTTTTTTACACAGATTGCATGAATTGGAATATTAAAATGTTCCTTATTGACATCTGTATTAAAAAAAAGTATTTTTTTATGGATAGATGCATACATATATATATATATATATATATATATATATATATATATATATATATATATATATATATATTGTATATGTGTTT